CTTTGCTTGTATTGGCTCTCCAGGTGCTTTACGGGGTTTTCTTCACAGGGGGCTGTCAAATAAGGGTCTGCGCAGGGTCTATTGGGTTTGATGTACCCTAAACCCTAAACCCTATTGGGTTTGATGTGGGTTTGGAAAGGTTTGATGTAGGTGAATAGGGTTTGGGGATTTGCTGTTTAACTAGAGTTTGGGGTTCAGAAGTTTGTTTTCTGGCAGGACTAAGGATTATCAAATACTATTGGACGTTTGGCCGCGCTGCGGCATTTGTGCTACACCCTAAACCCTAAAGCCTAAAGCCAAGGCCCGCCAGGGAGGCTTGTGGAATTTTCTCTGGGCAAGAAGAAGTGGGGTGGTGTTCCACTGCAAACATGTCTGGCTTTATACAGGAAAGAGGGTTTTGGCGTTTAGCGGAGTTCAGGACTGTAAAGCTGCGGAGACCTTGCGAAACTAATTCGCACATACACTGGGTTCCTCTGCAAGCCACCCTAAACCCTCAACCCTAAACCCAAACCCCTAAACCCTAGGTACACCCGTCAAACCGTCCCTTCAAGACCGTTCACGTCCTTCAAGGTTGCAACCGGTCTAAGGTTGGAAGTATGGGCCCCTAATATGGACCGTTAGGCCTTTCTAGTGGCCCTTACGGGTACATATAGTATAGGGGCCTGTAAGTAATAATTAGAATAGGGTTTTTGGCAGTTCCTGATTATGATTATAATATTTTACGCCCCTAAACCCTAAACCCAAAGCCCTAATCCCCAAACCCTATTCTAATTTTTCAAGGCCCCTACACATGAACTAAATAGAAGCCCTGGGCTGCTAATACAGGTGCCTTAAGAATTGGAATAGGGTTTTGGGGCCGATTGCACTATAATTACAATAAGGAACCCCCAAAATAATACAGGCAATTGTTGAGGCCCCTACATTAGCTTCAGGGGTATGAAGGGGTGTGGGATGGTTTAGGGATTTAGGGGTGTAGGGGTTTAGGGTTTTAGGGGTTTAAGGTTTAGGGTGCAGGGGGTTTAGGGTGTAGGGTGTAGGGGTTTAGGGTTTGGGGTTTAGGGTTTAGTAGTACGCTCTCCACATTAAAAAAAAGCCCTGCTTGTTTAGGATCCCCTCCTCCAGCTCTGCGACCGTGGCATCTCGTTCGGCGATGTAGAAGTGGAGAGCCTCGGATCGGGCTCTGGCGGTTCTAAACGGCTTTCGGGCGGGTTTAGAGTTGGGTCTTTGGGAGGTACATCTATCGTAGGAGTTTACAGGGACAATGGGGGTATGACGTTATGATATTTTGTGCAGATTATTTCGCCTTCCGGAGTACACAACGCCTCCCTTGCAGACCCGAGCGGTTGAAAAGAATGCTTTCCGTACGGCCGTGGTCAGTCACACGGAGAGTAGAGACTTGTCCAATATGGGGTGTTGGAAGGTTTCACTGTTCAGGGCCCAAGGTTTGGAAATTAGCTACACGGGTTTCGGGACCTGGGTTCAAGTCTTCAGACTGGGACCCGGGTTGTTCATTTTACGGCTCAGCGTTTGAGGTTTAGGGCTGAGGAGCTCCATGCCATGCATTCCCTGGCCTCCAGCTGTATGCAGGCAGAGAAGGGTCGTTGAGGGATTCTGATTCCGGCAGGCGTTGAGAGGAACAAGGAAAAGCCCAAGGCGAATTCCCTCAACCCTAAACCCTAAATCCCAACAGTCGGGGTCACTCCATAAATGCAGCAGTTCAGAAATGTAACTATCAATCAACCAGTATGGATACCCTTCAAAAAGAAAATGTGGCACTCGTGGCTTTGCTTGTCATCGAGACTCTTCATCTTCACCAGAAAACCAATCGCACTGACACAACCTCCACTCGAAGCAGTTTCCGAGAAGCTACGTCGAAGCCGGAACAGTTCGTAATACCATTGCTAGGTCCCAAGATTTCTCTTCACAACTAGACTACACTGCTCTACCCCAAGATGCGGCTCAAACTACTAAGGCCCGCTATGTCATGTTTGGCAACTCCAAGCCGTGGACCATCAACCACAGGCACCGGGAACCGAGATTCCGGCGCGGCCCCGATCCCCTGCAGCCATGAAGCTGCGATTCTGGAGGACCTGCTTTGGGATGAGGCTTCAGGATGTAGGAGTCATCAGCAGGGTGCAGAGGAGCCTAGGGTAAGACTACCATAGCTGAAGGAGATTTCGAGACCTGCTTTGAAGCGTCCACCAGTCCCATAACCAAACAGAAAGCCTCGTACTCCTACCATTGCAGCAGCAGCAGAAACAGCAGCTGCTGGTAACAGCTAGCTAGTGCGAATAACGATACGTGCACAACGGCAAAGGTAATTTGCACAACACAAGGATTCTGTAAAGTGTTCTTCATACCTGAGAGCACTTATTCTATGCTTTCCGCTATGCTTTCAACCGGCATCACACTGCAGAAGGGCGCCTGCTGCATCAACTTCGTGCCGTGGAACAGAACAGCCAGCATGAGGCTCGCCGCCCCCGACGCAAACCTGAGAGCTCCCCGCCTAATGTAGGAGCCCTAGTAATCAGAACAGGGTTTCGGGGTAGATTATGTAGCTATATATACTAGGGAGCCCCCCCAAAAAATAAACCCTGAACCCTAAAACCCTAAACCCTAAACCCTAAACCCTAAAAAACCTAAAACCCTAAACCGTGAAGGTAATTATTGAGGCCCCTGAATTAAACCACAGATCATAAGGAGCCTTGCGCCTGCCAGCTGCCAGCTATGGGCTGATGAAAAGGTCTCAAGACCTCTAAGTCCGAAACCCGTGGTATAGGGTTTAGGGTTTTAGGGTGTGGGGTTTCGGGTTCATGTAGGGTTTCGGGTTTAGGGTTTAGGTTTTTAGGGTTTAGGTTTTTAGGATTTCGGGCTTTAGGGTGTAGGGCTTTGGAGTTTTAGGGTTTTAGGGCTTCAGGGTTTTAGGGCGTAGGGTTTTAGGGCTTTAGGGTTTAGGATTTTAGGGTTTAGGGTTACAGGTTTAGGGTTTCTGTCGGAGCACTCTGGTCCCAACAAGCTGAACGGATTACAACCGGAACAAGGGCACTTTTGAGCCACGGTCCTTCGGCGTGCAGACCAAGGCCTATTCGAGATGACTTCCTAAGCAGGTCCTACAGCCCAAAGAGTGCTGACCATAAGGCCGCAGTCGTGAGTATTTGGTGCACCCTGTAGCATCAATGCACGGCCGCCGAAACCCTCAACACCAAGTTCCGAAACCTTATAGCTCCCGCCCTTGCGCAGCAGTCACTCAGCTTCCGGCAGAAGGCTGCCTTGATCGCCGAATGCCAACTCACTGACAGCCTGTGCGCTTTCAGCATCCAGGATGTTGTTGCGATTGCGATTTATGCGCTGCTGGGTTCGATGGCTATTGTCGCATTCTCAGTACCTTTCGTATCGTTGTGTAACCCGTCATTGCTTTTTTCTGATATGTATGCGCATCGTTCTTCTCTCTAAGATTTTCTATCGGTATTGTTGCTAGTGGTGTCAACATTGTGAACAATATCTTGAGCATAGCGTTACTCCTCTTGCTGCCAGTATCTGTACGGACCTCCTGCTATTGCAACCAGGAGCCCAGGCAAGTACCTAAACAGAAGCTTTTGAAGCAAATATCTGTACAAGGGGTAAGTTTCAATAGTTGATGTGCGGATGCTAAACCCTAAGCGCTCAACTCTAAAAACGATAGATCCCTGTCCTACCGGTCCTCTTAACAAGGATTCGAATTACCATTCGCGGGCCCAGGCTCTGTTTTACCGTTTAGGATTTAATTGGGGTGTATTTGGGGTGTCGGATGTGTTGAATGAGGTCTCAAGGTGCTGTCCAGAGATTTTGGGTTTGCTTAGGGCTTCAGCTTCTGGACAGAACATGAGGGGCCAGCTCATGTCTGCCGCTCTCACATAGAATGATGTGTCCGGTTCTGCTGCATCTTCAACTAGCAACGACCCACACCCCAAGTTTCCCAGCTCTCCTTACCAGACCAGACGTGAACGCAAAATGGCCGAAAGCGGCAAGGCTTGAGCAGCGTTGTTTAGCACATCCAATGCTAGCAGAATTCTTTAGAACTTCATGCTGTGTCTCGGAACCCTAAAAACCCCTGAACCCCTAATCCCTAAGTCTTCTCAGAAGGTCCGCAGTAAGAGCCTCCTGCAGCACAACGAGGCAGGCTGCCAGCAAGACTAGCCTGGACTGTTCTGAGGCCGCCTAGAAATCGCAGTTCATCTTCCGTAGCAAAGCTATACTTCTAGAAACGATAGTTCTTGCTCCTTCTTGAGACTATCCACTAGACCATGATCTGCAAGACTGTACTAGTCGGTACTGGACTCGACTTGACTTTACTACACCAAAAAAGAAACCACGCAAAGTCGCTTTAAGAACTCTCGAGTTGCCTAATAGCCTAAACCCTAAACCCTAAAAAAGGAACCCTGAACCCCTAAACCCTAAACCCTCAACCCTAAAACTTTAGACCCTAAAACCCTGAAGCCCCAAACCCTAAACACCTAAACCCTAAACCGTAAAATCCTAGACCCAAAACCCTAAACCGTCTCGAGCAGCAGCATCAGCACGAAGGATCGGTGGAGCTGCGCCGGCAGCGGGAGCTGCCTCAGAGCTCTCTGTCGTCATCGTTTCAAGGTTTAGGGGTTTAGGGGGTTTAGGGGGTTAGGGGGGTTGGGGTTTAGGGCAGTTCCGGGGTTTAGGGGTTTCGGGTTTAGGGTTTAGGGGTTTAGGGGTTTGTATTGTGGGTGTCAAAGGCCTCTGCTTGTGCGTTTAACTGCGAGCTGGCTTGATTGCTACATCGTTCAGGGTAATTACAGTTGGGGTTTAGGGTTTAGGGTTGAGTTGCACCCTCAACCGCAAGCCCTGGTGAAGGAGACATACACCGCCAACATAAGGGCCGTAGAACTTCGAACAGCGCTTTAGGGGTTCATAACTGTACCCTATAGGGTTTAGGGTTTACTGTTCAGGGTTTCGGGCTTTTCAGGGCAATACCAAGTAGGACTCCGCACGCAAGCAGCCACTGCAGCTGCCGTGTCAGGAGCGGATAGCTCAGAGCGCCCAGAACTGGCAGAGAAGCTTTGGGGTTTAAGGTTTAGGGTTTATAGGGTTTAGGGTATTCAGGATGTATCGGGGCTCAGGCTCGATAGGGCTGTTCTGTTTTATAGCTTAGGGGGTTGAGCAGTTGAGCCTGAAGGGACGTTGTTCGCAGGCACAGTTTCCAGGGCCCATGAATGAAAACCGATACCCTATCCCTCAAACTCGTGAGCCCTAAACCCTGAACCCCAATCCCTAAACTAGTTCCCACCCTTTGAGGAAACGAGTACTAGGATGCCGGCTCTCAGTTAGAACTGCAAACTATCCGCCAAAGCAAGGTTCAGGGTTTCACGAAGCTGAAGATTTATTTGCTTCGCCATAACTGACCAGTGTCACATTCGTTAAACTGGTTCTCATGAGCCATTAACCACCCGAACACCTTAACCCTACACCCTAAACGCCGTTAGGCCTCAACCGTTCTAAACAGCAAACCCCAAACCCTAAATCTAGACTTCGCCTGAACCACTTAAAGACGTAAACCCTAAATCCCTCCAAACCCTA